AATCGCTTGAACCCAAGGGGCAGAGATTGCATTGAGCCAAAATCGTGCCACTGCACTGCAGCCTGGGAGACAGAGTGACACTCCATCTCAAAATAAATAAATAAATAAATAAATAAATAAATAAGTAAAACACAATTTGTACAGTCAAACAATACGCAGAAGCCAATAGCAGCATCCTTTGATGAATTCACTGACCTTGATAAATACTGTGATCTCTCTTTGCAGCATGTTACATCATTTAATGACAATATAGTAGGTGTTTCTCTCCAAAATTATTATCCCAATAATACTTACAGAAAATTAAACAGAACATACAGGGATATTTTTTAAAAGATATTTTAAAAATAGGTATTCTGGAAAAAACTAAAAATGATCAAACTGTGGTGATATTCTGGCTGTACAAGACAGCCTGTATTATTTTTGTTTGTAAGTGGTTTTCAATGAGATAGATGTCTAATCAGGTCAATTTTTAGATTGGGTAAATACATTGAGAACCTTCAAAAGTCATAAAGCATAAGATGGCTGTGTTTACTTTGATCACATATTGAACAAATAAAAATGTACTAGGGCAATGTCTTAAAGAGCAGACAAGGAAACATAGTATTATTTTGATTGCTAAAAAGAGTTGTGTTTATTAATCCTTTTTAGTGAAAGCTTTGTCTTTCTGATGTCACAATGAAGAGTGGCTTTCTTCAAATAATAGAAATTTCATAGGCATCATTTAGCCAACTACTGAATGTGATTCATTCTTGAGTGAGCAATTAGAAATTTTAAAACAAAGTTATGTACTTATCCAAAACAGCTTACAAAATAGTGACCAAATAACTAGGAATTGCATACAAAATGAGTTAAGACAATTGAATCAGTAAACCAGATGCTACTCCATTATTCTAAACTATGTTGGATATGACAAATACTTGTAAGTTGGTGATCATTGTGCATACTTTAATAACAGAAAGCCTTCAGCATGGTTTTTAACTTTTTTTTTGCCAATTGAAAATCATCTATCTGTGACTTTATTCAATAAAGTTAAACAAGTGGACAATCATATGAAGATACAGCCATTATGAAAGGCAAACAGAAAAGACTGCCAGCCCTCTTTCAAAACATGAATAATTACATTCCCTAATGTCTCCCAAGAAAAACCTTCCTCCACAGTACTGAAGCTGTTGATTACTGCAGTATTTCTGCAGTAGTTAATATGTTTGTTTTACAGTTTTGTCTAATATAATAGAAATTTAATGTGAGCCACGGTTAAAACTGTCGACTAGTCACATTAAGACAAAAAGAATTAAAGAAAGAAATGGGGCTGGTCGCGATGGCTCACACCTGTAATCCTAGAACTTTGGGAGGCCAAGATGAACAGATCATCTGAGGTCAGGGCTTTAAGACCAGCCTGGCTAACATGGCAAAACCCAGTCTCTACTAAAAATACAAAAATTAGCCTGGTGTGGTGGTGTATGCCTACTACTCAGGAGGCTAAGGCAGGAGAATCGCTTGAACCTGGGAGTCAGAGCTTTCAGTAAACCTAGACTGAGCCACTGTACTCCAGTCTTGGCAATAGAGTGAGACTTAGTCTCAAAAAAAATTAAAATAAAGTAAAAAGAAACCTTTAAAATTAATGGTACATTTTATGTAATCAATAAAATATGTTTAAATAAGTAAAGTATATTTTAATTTAATATATTTAATATTTAATTATATTTTGCACAAAATTCAGTGTGTATTTTACTTCATGGCACATCAGTTCACACCAGCCTCATTTAAGTGTTTGTTGAAGTCAAATAAAATACAGAGATGAATCCCTAAAGTTAAAACATTTTACTTGGGAAGCAAGAATTGCAATTCAGGCCATATACACAGACCAGTGGTCCTCATTATGTCTGAAGAGCAAAGAGAAGTTTGAAGAGTTTATAAAAAGGATAAATGCTCTGTATTGTTTTGAAAAAAAGCTCATTCTGGGAAGCTGACAAGTTCTGACTGGTGAGAGACTACAGTGGTACATAAAACTAGTCTTAGAGTTGTAGCAGGCTGTTTCAGTAGCTGTCAGGTAAAACTTGTTTCTGGTTACAGCAGGCAGTTTCAGCAGCCAGGCTTGCAGAGAATTACACTCTTGAAGCCATGTGATGTGCCCTGAATGCTTTCTCCCCTTGGCCTCTCGACTCTGTTTACTTGAGTATGTCCAGAATGACCCAGTACATAGGATCAACTTTCACATGTTCAATAGCCGCATGTGGCTCATGGTTACCACATTAGGCAGTGCAGGTGTAGCAGTTTGTGTGTTTTAAACACATATACCAACTTGGATTTTTCTTTAATGGGCCCAAATGTGGTGAAACAGTTTGCCCATTATAAAATTGTTCAAACTTTGCCACAGGGGTGCAAGTGAATAATGAGCTCAGTTCAATGCAGGGCCCAGGCTGACTTTTGAGCTTACACCTCCCCTATGTCACTTCAGGAACCGCACGTGATGAAGATGATCAGAAAAGTGTAGATCGTTTGTGCCATTGGAGGGGTAGCCAGGCAAGAGAAGCAATATCGGGGCAGCAGTGAGAGCTGGTAACCAAGCAGCTGAGCCACAGGCTTGCAAAGGGGGCATCCTGAACAAAGGTTACAAGACTATACAGGAGACCCCCAAAGCTTATGGGGAAAAAGAGGTGCCACTGAGGACATAATTACCCTTGTTGAATGCCAATGAGGGTGTCCCAGCACCCACTTGATGCTTTGTATCAGGTGTGACAACTTACTGAGCCTCAGAAGAAAACCACAGGTTAGAGATCATTACCCTAAATTTACAGACAACTCCAGAAAAGCACAGGACATCTGAGTAATTTGCTGGTCATCACACAGCAAGGAGTGGAATCTGAATTGGAGGCCATATCCGTGTTGCTTCAAAGTCTCCACACTCCACCCTGTGCCACAACATCCCTTTCAGAGAGTACGGTGTTCTACTGGGGGTCTCAGGAATCAAAAATACAAAAATGACTCTCACACTTTGATAAGCACGTCCTTACTTCTGGCATTGCCTGAAAACGTCAAGAGTTTTCTTGCTACCACTGTGCTTTGGATCAAGAATGGCCTGGGAAATTAAGGATTACCCTGTGGCCAGGTGCAAACAAATGTAAGAGCAGCTGCTTGGCGGGCCTTATAAAGAGTCCTCTCATGTCCTGATTTCTAGAAATGCATTGCATCATACCGTGGGGACCACCTACATTGCTCAGTATTTCTAAATTCCATTTGAAGCAGCACAACTCTTATTTCCCTCAGACTTTTTGTTTCCGAGAGCTCTCCTAAAAAATTAAGTGGGTGGAATTTATGTATCTTACCTTCTCTCTCTCTGGTAGCTAGGCTTCTTAAATAGGAAAGTGCTTCTAAATGTAACTAAAAGCATGGGAAATTGATCTCAATTGGAGTGAACAGTATCTAAGTAATTAAAAGCTGATTATCTCCTCCTAAGCCCTTCTATTTCTGAGCATTTTAAATGTTTTATCACTTAAATGTTGGTTTTTCTCTAAATGTTATGTCAATTTATCATTAAAAATACTTAATCTGGCCAAGCCCAGTGGCTCACACCTGTAATCCTAGCACTTTGGGAGGCCAAAGTAGGTGGATCACCTGAGGCCAGGAGTTCAGATCAGCCTGACCAACAAGGCGAAACCTGTCTCTACAAAAAATACAAAAATTAGCTGGGCATGGTGGTGCGTGCCTGTAGTCCCTGCTGCTTGGGAGACTGAGGCACTAGAAGCACTTGAACCCAGGAGGCGGAAGTTGCAGTGAGCCCAGATTGTACCACTGCACTCTAGCCTGGGTGATAGAGTACAACTCTCTCATATTAAAAAAAAAAAAAAAAATACTAAACTAAATTCATTCCACATAGCCTTCATTAGTTTACCTATCTGATTTAAAAATAAAGTAAAAAATGTTTATCATGGCCATTAGTCATTGCTGTATATGGCCACTGCTAGCATGACCATATAGAGCACCTTTAAGACATTCTCTAAGTGTACCAGTCACTGGCAGTGCCTGGTACATCACTGTCTGCATTGCCCAGAGCCAGAGACCCAGGCCCTGAAAGATAATGCTATTTTGCTCAAATCCTCTCATAAAGTAATAGCACAGCCAAGAACTGACTTAGGTCTGGACTTCTCACGTGAGTTTCCTCCACTGAGCATGGCTCGGTTCTCATTGCGCAGAGGGAAACATTAGGCTCACAGATATATCAGAGACGGCAGCTGATACAGACAAGGAGTTTTGTCCTGTTGTAATGATTATGTAATAAATATAATCGGCATTTATTAAGCAGTAAAAATGTACCAGGTCTCTGTTAAGTGTCTTTTGTGCATCAGCCCACACAATCCTCACACACTGCGAGATAGGGCCGGTGTTTTCCCCAGTTTTCTCTTGAGGAAATGGGGGAAGAGAGAGGTTAAATAACTTGGTCCAAGTTCACTCAACTAGTAAGTAGCAGAACTGGGACTTGATCCAGTTTTGTGGACAAAAAGAGCTTTAACGCCGGCATGTTGGCCAGGCTGGACATGCAACATCCTAACATCACACTGGCCTGTTAGTATAAAATGACAAACATGATAAAAAGTTTATTTCAGGTCCATCTCACCTTCTTTTGAGACCTGATTCTCAAGTCAAATTTTTTTTTCCCCAGAAGGTGACTTTCATACTTGAATATTACTGTTTGGGATTATAAGAATCAACACTGGGCTGGGTGCAGTGACCCACACCTGGAATCCCAGCACTTCGGAAGGCCAAGAAGGGTGGATCACTTGAGCTCAGCAGTTCGAGACCAGCCTGGCCAACATGGTGAAACCCCATCTCTGCTAAAAATACAGAAATTAGCCATGCATTGTAGCAGGCACCTGTAATCCCAGCTACCGGGAAGGGTGAGGCACAGGAATCATTTGAACTTGGAAGTTGAAGTGAGCCAAGATTGTGCCATTGCTCTTCAGCCTGGGTGATAGTGTGAGACTCCATTTCAAAAAAAAAAAAAAAAATCAACTCCGAGCATTCATTCTTTAATTAACACCAAGCCTGTGAAGGTGGAGAGCCTGGGTTCACATCTTCGCTCTGCCACTTACCCATTATGTCAACCTTGGCACACAGCCATCTTGAGTTTCTTAAGATATAACATGAGGATCTGAATAATGTCCTACTTCATAGGGTCTTCTTAATGACTGGATAAAATAATGGATATAAATGTTTAGTTTATTGCTTAGCACATAGTAAATACTCTATAACCATTAACTAGTATTATTTTTCTTTTCAGCACATTTTTGTTGAGCACCTATTATGTCAGGCATTGTTAGTGCTACTCCATATGGGCTCTAAAACTTTGACACAGGAGATATTTGGGATGGGATTCCGGGTGTGGGGAGAAGAAGAGGCAGCAGATTCGTCTTCAAGCTGCTTTAATACTCTGTTTGAGAAACATCGGTTGAATATACAAAAGACTTGTGAAGGTAGACTGACAGAAACCATGGAGGGGCTAATGCCCCTCGTAATCCATCCCTTGTGGCCACAGCTGTAGGTTAACAGGGAATGCATATACATATCTATGTACCTGGCATTGTGGTAGTAAAGAATTGGGTATGACACCACCTTTAAGAATCTAACCATCTATGGACATGTAAATGCCTCATGTGGTAGGAGATTTTCTGATGGAAAGTCCCTGCCAAGCACTGTGGTGATATGAAAGAGGGAGCTGACAATGTCTTGTGGAGTTGGGTACCACTTCACAGATATCCTATTTGAGCTGGGTCTTGTAGGACACGTGAGACTATGCCAAGCAGAGAACCGCAGCCAGGATCATCTAAGCAGAGAGAACAGTATGTACAGTGCCTATCAGTAGCATTTAAAGGACTGTGATATTAAAAAAGTAGTGTTTGGGAAATAGCTTAGGAATCAACTTGGCTGCAATTTACGATATAGGTTAGGGACAGAATACCAGGAGATTAACAGTGGGACCAGATTGTCTGCAAGGGGAAGACTTTTGGATCTCATCATTTAGATAATGGCTAGCTCTTACTGATATGTAAACAAGAAAATAATATGATTGCATCCACATTTTAGGGAGATTAAAAAATCAGAGTATAGTGCGGGCTAAGAGCCTCTCCAATTGCATTTGTCAAGATATGCTAGAGAGTGCATTAATAATAAACAAATCACATACCTCAAAAGCTCAACAGGATGCAGCAGAACCAGGACCAGTGCTGCTCGCCCAGGTTTACGTTTCTTCCTATCTGTTCAGGGCTGACATCCACCTCTGACTCCTCAACTCTCTGGATAATATTCTGTTTGATCTGCCCATGACTTAATAATGAAAAGAATTATATTTGAATTATAAATACTTTAAAAAAACACTTCATAAAGACAAAATGGATGCTAATTTTTTAGTATTTAGCACTGTTACTCTCGTCAGCAGTGAGTGGCAATATTATCTGAATAGGCATAAAGATAAACACTGAAAGAACCAGAAGTTTGGGGTTGCAAAAAAATTTGCAATGACTGCGAATTATTTCCTTGTCTGAAACAACTGAGGATGGTAACTTGTGGTTGTGCACTGTGGACGTTGTTTACCTCTGCCTCATTGCAGAGGTTATGCAATCGTTCTGATTTTCCAGCTGTTTCTAATCAAGTTAAATGCAAATTTAAAAACATGCTCTGAACTGAAATCACATCATCGCCTGACATCATTGTTCTTGCTTCAAGCAGACCAGGGGAATGGAATCTTTTTAGTGCGTGTTTACAGTGCATACTTTTGTTCCTAACAGAGAGGGTAACTACTAAATGTTGTTAATTAAGCCAGTCTGCTCTATTCTCTCTCCAGCCCCCTGTCCTTTGTAGGTCTCATTAGAGAGACTATGTGCCAAGCTAGGGCATTTAGTCCAGTCTGGTGTTTGACACAGGCCAAATATGATAACTAAGACTTCAGATGACATCACCAGCTTCTGAATATTAGTCAGAGCCCAGAGGTTGTTCAAACTACCTACAAACAGTTCAAATTACCTGCAGACTTCCTACAAACTGCACTACATTCTCACTTCTGACCATAGATGCAAACATCCCAAGTAAAATGCCAGCAGAACTTACTCTACAAGATAGTAAAGGACTGTAACGATGTCCCATGGGAGGCAGTATAGAATAAGTATAACTGGTAAGACCCCAGCCTCAAAAAACAGGCCAACTGTTGTCCAATTTTAACTCCCACTTACTGCACAACTAACGTCACCTCTCTAAATATTAATTTTCCCATGTGCATAATGGAGAGACTATGTCTCTCATTGGTTTGTTGAGTGTCTGGCTCAAAATTGGAGAGAAAACTGTAGGAAGAAACATTGCTCACAGTCAGTGAAGAGCAGAGCCAGGATTCAACCTCAGCTTCATTGGACTTAGAACCTAGGCTCTTAACCTCTAAGCTGTAATGGAACCAGGAGGCAGATATAAAAAAAAATAGGGTTGCTTTTCTGAGCAGTCCGTATGTTACATGATAATAAAAGTAGATGAAGAAACTATAAGGAAACCGTGAAGGAAAGTGTATAGACATGGCCACATAATTTTTTTTAAACTTTTCATATAAAAAGCAGTTTAAATAAATTTTAGAAGTAAATAATAGGGCCGGGCGCGGTAGGTAGCTCACGCCTGTAATCCCAGCACTTTGGGAGGCCGAGGCGGGTGGATCACGAGGTCAAGAGATCGAGACCATCCCGGTCAACATGGTGAAACCCCGTCTCCACTAAAAATACAAAAAATTAGCTGGGCATGGTGGCGCGTGCCTGTAATCCCAGCTACTCAGGAGGCTGAGGCAGGAGAATTGCCTGAACCCAGGAGGTGGAGGTTGCGGTGAGTCGAGATCGCCCCATTGCACTCCAGCCTGGGTTACAAGAGCAAAACTCCGACTCAAAAAAAAAAAAAAAAAGTAAATAATAAACCACACTAAGCATAATATTCACAACATATTGTCAACCTAAATCATAGAGACTCTCTGAAAGAAGAGACTTTTAGTTGAGAATAGAGCTTTGCAATGGGAGTAGGCGTGTCATAGTAAACTACGTGCATAGTCAGGGAGGTAAAGAAAGACAAAGGTCTCCGAAGGGAAAAATGAGGAGGATTACATAATTGTTTTGAAATCAACATCCTTGGCTGCAAAAGTCATTAACAAGGGTGTCGCCAGCCTGAGGTTGCAGAGGCCAGTTGCTGGGCAGATGTCTTCATAGAAGTTTCATTTGTGTGTGTGTAAGGTTGTGGTAGCCTTTGTGCAAAGTTGTGGTTTTCGTAGTCTTTTTTGTTATCACACAGTGAAGAGTAAGATCCAGCTCTCCAGGGCCTCCCCTGGCTCTGTCTCAGGATTTTCTTAACATGAGTCACTCCATTTTGATTCCAATAACTTTCACAATAGATCAGTTAATATTTTAATACAAAAACATCTTTAGAGGTATTTTAAAATATGAATATTCAGTGAAAAAAGGCAAAACCCATACATTGAAAATTCAGAAAATAAATACAAATGTGAAGCCAATAAATGTGAGGAAAATATTCAAAGAAAGAAAAATTATCCAGAATCATTATATGGAGAGAATGCCCATGCCATAGGGGTCCTTCCTTGACCCCTTTTCTTCCTGACTCCCATGTCTTCCTAAGCTGGGCATGTGAGGCCTGTCAGAACCCAGCTTCTACTGACCTGCCAGCCTCCTTTCCTCCTCCTCTCCTTCACGCCGTGTGGTCCAGCCTGCAGGACATGGTAGGCTCCTGACATTCCCAGATTTCACTTTCCTGGTGTTGGCTATCTGTGAGCTGCTCTGCTGAGGCTTGAATTCACATCACAGATGTGTGAGGGGTATGAGCTGTGAGTCATGCAGCGAGTAAGTGAGCCTAGCTGGCTTCAAGCCTTCCCAATGGAATGAGCCTTATTGTTTCAAATTCATTGTTAGGGTATTCTCATAAAGTAATAAAAATTTTTTCTTTTTGCAAAATGGCCATGAAATGGAAGTTAAGTCAAAGCACGAAAGTGTTAGAAAGTTTTGATTCTCGACCAGAAGAAAGAAATCTTGGGTATCAAATGTGCTATGCTGTAACAACCATAGTGGTATTCACGAATAGAGTATTCTAGCAGCCCTGCAGATGAATCCCTTTGGGTGTTAGGAGTCTACTGCCTTGCTCTTTCCTGCATGTGTGTTCCTTGAGGGCTGGGTGCTTTTGCTCCTGTTTCTCACCCTTTTGCTTCCCTTCCCCACCCAAAGCCCCTACGGCGCTTCCTTTGCAAAGCCTGCTCTGCAAATGGCAGATTGGGTCTTGTCATCTTTGTATTGCCTCCATGCTTTGTGCAAAGTGTAACACAGAGGTTAAGAACATGAACTTGAGGGCCAGACTGCCTAGGTTCAATCCCAGCTCTGTTATTTATCAGCTATGTGATCTGGAGCCTGGTTATGTAGCCTCTCTGTGTCTAAGTTCCCTCAACTGCTAAACGGTGATAATAATGGCACCATGTCATAGGGATGTTGTAAGCCTTAAATGAATTAGTAGCTATAACGTGCTGAGGACAGTGTTTGACCTTTAGTAAGCAGTGTTTTGTTATTCTACTACAAACCTTCTCATGCTTCATTTTATTACTGGAAAGGGGACTCGATCCAGACCCCAAGAGAGGGTTCTTGGATCTCGTGCAAGAAAGAATTCAGGGCAAGTCCACAGGGTAAAGTAAAAGGAAAGTTTATGAAGAAAGTAGAAGAATAAAAGAATGGCTACTCCATGGAGCAGCCCGGAGGGCTGCTGGTTGCCCATTTTTAGGGTTATTTCTTGAAGATATGCTAAACAAGGGGTGGATTATTCATGCCTCCCCTTTTCAGACTACATAGGGTGACTTCCTGATGTTGCCACGGCATTTGTAAAATGCCATGGAGTGTAGCAGTGAGGACGATGAGAGGTCATTGTCATCGCCTGTTGGTTGGGGTGGGTTTTAGCTGGCTTCTTTACTGTAACATGTTTTATCAGCAAGGTCTTTATGACCAGTATCTCGTGCTTACCTCCTATCTCATCCTGTGACTTCGAATGCCTTAACCGTCTGGGAATGCAGCACAGTGGGTCTCAGCCTTATTTTACCCAGCCCCTATTCAAGATAGAGTTTCTCTGGTTCACACTCCTCTGACAATTGTTAATGGTTTTTATATACAGCAAGATTTCTTTTAAAGTACTACCATAACTCAGTCACGTGGGAAAAGTATAGTCCCTTTAACTTGTTTGTAGTTCTTCTGGGCTTCCTCATGAATTGAAAACTACTGCCTCCATCTCTCTTTCTCTGAGAGTTAAAGTAACCAAACTTACTTTGGCTTTGCAAACTGAGTTTATTCCAATAATTTAAACATCTCATTGACAACATCCAGTCTTTGGGATGCTTGCTTACTTGTATGCCCCCAACTCCACCCTCTGGGGTTTACAGAGACAGGAAGGGAGGATGGCCTACCTCCAACGGAGGAGTTCAGGGTCCTCAGATCCCTGCTATACTCTCGGATGCTCTGTTTCCCCAGCGAAGAGGGGATGTTCCTGCATTCCATTGGAGCCTACTACTACTGATTCACACTTCGCGCTTTCTCAGCTCAGGAATCATCATCTTGCTGATTTAGTCTCCCACGGTGTGGATGCCTCCATGGCACTGTATGTTTTCTGTTTTGACCCTATTCCAGGTGGTCTACCCCAGCCCCTGTGATGATGCTGGCCCTAACTTAGCATCCCTCCTGAATGACTTATGTGTGGGAAGCCTAGGAGGGCAAACTGGAACCTTCCTTTGCCTGACTTGGCTGCTCTGCCCTTTGCTTTATCCTGGGATACCAGGATATCCCACAACCCCCTGCCAAACTCCTAAGTCCTCCATCCCCCAATATTTCCTAAATCCATCACACATAGAACCATCTCTGCCAGTCATCTTATTCCTACAATCCCTTGGAGGAGAAAGGGGCTTTCCTCCTCTTCTCCCTGATTGGCTGTGCTGTGAAGCTCTGTGGTCTGGACAGCCAAGCCTGGCCCTTTCTTTCCTTCACATGGTATCTCAATAATGCCTGGCTTTCAAGCTGATTTTATAATGAAAAAGTTACATTTTGAATGTTAGACTTTGAATGCTAATGTTTTCTTGTTCTTTGGCAACAATTTAAATCCCCTCAAGGCAGATGAAGAAAGTATGTTAAATACAGTAAACTCTCGAATGCACCTACACACAAAATACAAAATATTAGCCCTGTTGAGACTTTGTCTGCCATTTAGCCTTTGCACTCAGCAGGGGCGGGATTTTCTCCCATTTAGATTCGAATCCTGGCTCTACCACTTGCTCTGTGATCTTACACAAGTTAGGTAGCCTGTCTGTGCCTGTTTTTCTTTCCTTTTTCTTAATGTGTAAAATGCAAACAAGAATATTACCTTGTGTGATTGTTTGCAGAGTTAAATGACTTACTGCATGGAAAATTTTCAGAACAGTGCTTGGCATATACTAAGTGCTCCACAAATGAGAATGATGCTTATTATGAGCTCAGTCCTTGTCCAAAGTATCTTACTCAATTATGGTTGAAAGATCACAGAGTGAGGCAGTAGATTAGGAAGTCTGAGGATCAGCCCAAAAATATGAGTTTAATTGCATTCTTTTCTAAAAATGAGATCACTTGTAAGAGCAACTCTCCCTGCCTATTGCAATCATAAGTGAAATTGCAATAATAGTAGCCTAGGGAAGTGACAAGGGTATGGCCTATCTCACCTGCAGTTCTGTTCAGATGAGCCATGTGACCCTTGATAAGCCATGTCACTTTCCCAATCTTTCTCCCATGGTTTCCTGAGATGTCTAGGTTACTTTCAGTAAAAAATTATGTTCCTTATTTCTCTGAAGAAAGAGCATGTAGATTTTCAACTCAGACTTATGGAGTAGCATCCACTCAAAACCCCCTTGGATGATTGAGTCCTGCTTTAAATGGGCTTCTTGTACAAGAAAAATTCAAACAAATTTTTCTTGAACTTTCCACAAAACAATGTTTTTCTTAGATCTGCTCAAATAGAGTACGCAAATTAAATACTCCTCATCATAGTGGTGCCCACCTGTAGTCCCAGCGACTCAGGAGGATAGCTTGAGCCCAGGAGTTTGAGGCTGCCATGAGCTATGATTATGCCACTGCCCTCCAGCCTGGGTGACTGACTGATACCCTGTCTCTGAAAAAAATTAAAAAAAAGAAAAATTGGAGTTGTCTAAATGCGTACGCTTTGAACTCTTTACCTCAAGTTATTTTGTTTAAAGGAACTGATGAATTTAAGTGTGAAATTCTGTATGAACAAACCAATAGCAGCAAATGTTTAAGTGATCTTTGAGAAAGCACTTTTTAAAAAAACAACAACAACAACAACCTTAAAGCGTTACATTCATTTCTGTTACTCTATTTACTCATCATAGTGTAGCTGTTTCCAGTGATACTTATCACATTTTCTTCAAAGTATTCAATATGGCCCAGATTTTAATGCTTTAAGAATCTTGGCATAATTGTTTGACTATCATTTTTTTTTAATTTTTGATAACTATAAGTGGTGATAGCTAATCTTTAATGTTATATTCATAAGAGTTTGTTTATAATCTGCATATCCTATGTGATAGACCTAGGACAAATATTGTTTGAAGAAAAGTTCAAGAATCGTCTTTAGTTCCATCTTATATTATCTTGACCTGTTAATTAATTTGCACAAGTATATGTTGTCTAACAACTATTCATATGTTAATTTAACTCTCTTCGATTTTCTTACATGGAAGAGTATATTAACAAACTATTTAAATACTATAACCACATAGTCCTGCACTAAATAAATGGCCAAGATGAAGATAAATATCATGACACAGGTTTAAGCCAATTATGCTGATGGGAAGGATATTCACACATGAATTTTTTTAACTTTGTTTTCTTGAGTACAAGTCCTTTATTCAGACTAGTAATTACTCATTTTCCATTGTTTACTTTCAGTTCTCCAAATTCATTCCTTTCTTCTTACTCTTCCTATTTTCTCTCTTTCTTTTTCTTTCTTTCTTTCCTTTTTCCTTTCTTTCTCCCTTTCTCTCTCTCTCTCTGTCTCTCTCTCTCCTTTCTTTCTTTCCTTCCTTCCTTCCTTCTTCTTTTCTTTTCTTTTCTTTTCTTTTCTTTTCTTTTCTTTCTTCTTTTCTCAGTCTTGCTCTGTTGCCCAGGCTTCAGTGCAGTGGCACAATCTCAGATCACTGTAACCTCCGCCTGCTGGGTTCAAGCAAGTCTCCTGCCTCAGCCTCTCAAGTAGCTGGGATTACAGGTGTGTGTGACCATGCCTGGCTAATTTTTGTATTTTTAGTAGAGATGGGGTTTTGCCATGTTGGTCAGGCTGGTCTCCAACTCCTGAACTCAGGTGATCCACCTGCCTCAGCCACCCAAAGTGCTGGGATTACCAGCATGAGCCACTGCACCCAGCCCCTTTTTCTTATTTTCTATTTACTTTTAATTTTAGATCATATTCTACTGCTAGTTGAATGCCTTTCTCCATTCAGACTTTAGAGGCTATAAAATTTCCTTTCTGGGACCTTTTCAAATCATGTTATTTTTCTTTCTGGTTCTCTTGTTCTTCTCTGTAATATGGTATTCCTTCCTGGCATGTCATGCTTTTTACAGAATTTTACTAATTGTGATTGTTTTCTGAACTCTATATTTAGAAATACTGTGGTTGAAAGCAAACTATCAATGCTGTAAACTGCCCCCAATACTTATGTATCTGTCAGTAAAGTTGTATGGAAATAATGAAATTAGACAGTGGTTTATAGTGAGCAGTCTCTGCTGGAATATGCCTGTTCTCTTTCAAATGGAAAACCAGCTTTCTTGTTTCAAGGGATAATAGTTTTCTCAGTAATCCATAGTCCCTTGCCATCCCCAAGGCAGAGTTACTTGATCTGAGCCAAAAGGCTGCATAGGATGGTACAGTTCCCCCAACATGGACACACGCTTTGTGCATGTAAGTATAGAGACAGATTCTGAATCAACCTTTAGGAAGATGAACAAAATGAGCTCTGATGGACTTTGTTCAAAACACATGCAATTAAGAGGGAAAGAAAATGTAAATTCTGAAGGACTTGCCAAGCTATGTTTCTAGAAGTTGCATGAATAAAAAGTAGAATCTAATGGTATGAAAGCTGGAAAGGCCCTAGAATCATCTAGGGGTCCTCCCATTTTAAAGATGATGAAATAAGGCCCAGCAGCCACTCACTGGGAGTGATTGCTAGGATCAGAAGTAGCACCCGGCTCACTGCATTGCCCTCATTGGAGTTGGTTGGAGATGCCAGCGTCTCCTTAAACCCGTTGCAGCAACCTTCTGGAAATCTAACGGTTATGCTAAAACCTAAAGAAATCGGAGGATATATTTTCCTAGTGTTTTGATTTCATAAAGATTTACTTAAGTAAAAGTTAAATTCAGATTGTCAAAGCTACACCATGGTTTTGAGCCTTTTCTTGTATTTATGGACTGCTTTCTGTGGATTCTGGTGTAGGTACATTCCGTTTTCCCTCATTTTACATGTATTTTTAAAATGAGAAGGAGTTTGTGGG